GCTACATATGAGAGGTTGCCATTAGAAGAGGAAGAAGAAGGTGGAGGCGCCGCCGCAGCACAAGGACAACTTGGAGGAAGTGGATCGCCACCACCACCACCACAACAAGATGGTATGGGTGATATTCCATCATCAAATATGCAGACAGTGTATAACTTGCCACCAAATTTGCTACCTAATAATGGTGGACAGTTGAACCATGAAGCATTTCTTTGGCCACATGGACGCCCTTCTTACTAAAATTAATGGTAAAATATATGTTAATAATAGTTAAAAAAATTATTTACAGAGAAGTAGAGCCTGGTCCCCTCCTTAATTAATTTATGTTTGTGTGGCCAAATTTTGAGAGTAGGTTAAAGAAAAACAAAGGAATTTAAGGTTTTATTATTGTATATTATATGAATTATATTATATATTCTCCTTGTGTTCATTTCTCTATTTGTTCATGTCAGTCTTACGCATCCATTACGCTAATCTTTTATGTGTCATTCCAATTTTATCGCATGTGTACTCGAAGGGCAAAGCAATGCACTATATTTTATTTCCAGCCAAAGAAAGTGTAGAAGCAAATAAAATGATGCCAAAAAAGAACTGAAGATTTAAGTCATCAATTCAACAGTCTGGCTCTTCGGTATGCATGAATTGCTTACTTTTGAGTTGAGCTGAAAATAGCAAGTGATTTAGTTTATTATTATTATTATTATTATTATTATTATTATTATTATTATTATTATTATTATTATTATTATTATTATTATTATTATTATTATTATTATTATAGTTCAGGTGAAGTCATTCCAAACAGCATCATTCATGTTGGAAGCACTAAATTTCTTCTGGGAAAGTAATTAAATTAGATAGAAAGATGTAAGATCTATTTGCCAATATAGTAATTAAAAATGACACGTAACCTATTATCTCGAGTTAACTACATTAATAGTATGTATAAATATCATATTAACTAGTGTACATAGCTTAAATCCTTTTTTATTGGTACAGTATTTCAAAAATCATTATGGTAATGTTTAAGATTGAGCAAGAAAGGATGTCATTGCAGCTCTTTAATTTGAAAACAAATGTACACGGAAAAACACATCTATCTCTGTCGTCCTTTTTGGCCCTTTAACTATCAGCATACTTTATAAATATAAAGTTTGCTTTAACATTGAATAATTAAAAAACCTATCTTATTTTGACATTGAAGTGACAGCCTTTGTTTATCTAATGTGAGTTTTCCTACTCAAATTGAATACATAAGACGAGCAACGTTGTATGAAAGTGCATTATTGGGATTTGGGATCAAGAACAAACATACATATGACAAGATGAATAGCATAGTCGCAGATATTAAAATGGATATATAGTCATACAATTATATATAAGATCTTAAATATAATGAGAACTCATAAAAACTGAAAGTAGCACACATGGAAAATAAAATGCGCGTGCGGATTTGTCACTAGATATAATTTGGTCTTTTACTACATAAACCTTCAAATTAATGTATTGCCCCCCACGTGTGAAATTAATATCTATATATGGCATATTTTAGACTATAGATTTTACTCCACACATTTTAGTTTATGTGACAAAATTTTCTTATTTGTTCGCTCCAAAGAGAATAACATATTTTTATATTTGAAAATTATTTAATTTTAAATTTTTATTTTATTCATTTTACCTTTAATGAGAAGCTTTTAACCACACAAATGTTATATTCACAAATTTTTTTATCATTTAAGCTTTTTAGAACATAAATTTCAAAAATATTACTTTTTCCTCTTAAATTCCATACCGATCATCAAACTATGTCAGATAAATTAGAATAGAGGGGATAAAAGTGTTTTGGTTCTTTTTTAAACTCCATACTTAGGCCAACACAATCACAAATATTGCGACAGGGGAGTAATAAATAAATAAGTGTCCTTAAGCAGCGATAAAGGTGCATGTTTGGTAGAGTGCTACTACAGTTGTCACAAAAGGAATAGTTTATTAGTTAGACAATAAAGTAGGGTTTCCATCACTTATAGCCTTTAGGCCAAAGTTTTTTTTTGGCCAAAAGTAATTTTTTGATGGTTGGTCAAGCTTTTGAAAAGGAAAAAAATATTTTTGAAGAGAAGCAAAAAAAAGTAGATTCTCTCCAAAAACACTTTTCTGAGAAGCACTTTTGAGAAAAATACATTTCGAAGCAGTTTTCAAAAGCTTGGCCAAACATTAATTACTGTTAAAAAGTGCTTTTCAAATTATTTAGCCAAACACAAACTGCTTCTCACCAAAATTATTTTTTTAAAAAGTATTTTTGAGAAAAGAACTTCTCAAAATAAACTGATTTTAGAAACTTGGCCAAACAAGCTATTAGTATAATTAATCTAGTTTATGTGGTTGAGGTGATTACGGGTTATCCTGACTAAACGACAAATATATAGCAGTAATATAATAATAAAATAATGACTTTTAGTAATTTGTTTAATTCATGATACAAAGTGTTAAGACTAGTGTTATGATGAATCTAGGTACGTGTATGTGTGTGTATATATATTATTATATATATATTATGGTTAATCCCTTTGGAAAATGTATAAAATAATGAGCAGTACGTGCTAGACTTTTTAATGGTGGCTCATATCATGTGGCTACAGCAGCTCAACGGAAAATTATAATTTAATGTTTAATTAATTAGTTAACCGAAGTTTTAGACTTGAATTATGTTGAATATGGGACCTATGACAGATTAATTCGCACGTTAATTTGTTATTTGTTTAGCATTCACTAAAGCAGTAGGTTACACACCTGTCCATTAAAATAAAAGCAAGTCACAACCATATATATGGGTGTTTCATTACTAGCTCGTTAATAATACAGTCAAACCTTTTTGAAATGGTTTCGCTTGTTCGGATAATTTTTGACTATTATAGTGCAATATTGTTATAGAAAATATATAATATGAGATAACATGAAAAATTAGTTCTAAAAAAAATCTTAACACAGTTACAATGAAATATTATAGAAGATGATTGTTATAGAAAGTTTGAATGATGTAGACGAGGACCAGTCAAAGCCTTTACTCAAGCAAGAGGCAGGGCAGCTGATGATAGGCTATAATTACGTATTTTTAGTCACTTATTACACTTAAATTTACTGCAATTTAATTAAGTTTGAACTTTAATCGCTAGTGTCTTGCACTAATTGTGTGTTTATGCCTTGTATGAGTGATTCTGAGCTATGTAGGTGTTATGAAATGAATTCAAGTGATTTGGAGCTTTGAATTTTGAGTAAAAGCCCAAGGAATTAAGGCGAGATCGTATTCGGGGATCAACGGATGATAGAGCAACAAAACGAAGAATCAAGTAGGCATATTACGTACTGTCTAGTAAAATATACATAATATTTTTCTCAGAACTCCATTTGGGCCTCACAATATATGGTTGGAAAGCTAACTCAAAGAGCTACAACTTTCCTGTTTTATATTTTTTTAAATTCTAAACGGAACAGGGTGAAAAATGCGGTCGCAACCGCGACCGCAGACCTGACACGTACTGAGGCAGTACATTGGGAAAGTACAGCGCCCGTATCGCGGCCGCGGACGTCCAGGCCTGGAAACTTGTCTTTTTTTGCGTAGGAGAAGGTATAATTATTTGGTCCCGACCCTACTTGGTATATATACATGGAAAACGGTATTTTGAGCGAAGGAGACCAATTTTTTGACACAGATTCGACATAAGGAGGCAAAGACCCAATAAGAGCAAGGCGGGGAATTATTCTACGAGTTTTTCCTTCCTCTTCTTATTTTTCATTGTTGGTTATGAATTTTAGTATTGTAGTTTTACATACTATTATGAATAGCTAATTTGTTACCTAGGGTTTTGATAGAACCTTTTGTAGGATAAATTCTTGTTATGTTTTTATATAATTGAGCCGTAGTATTTTCTCTATTTGTTCAACTATATTATTCTTGTGGTTGCTCAATTAGCTGTGCCTATTTAGTATGTATTACTCGGGAAAGAGGCATATTTAGGTAGTTGTTGAACAACATCACTTCCGATGTATGTGAGGAATCAATAACCAAGGGTTTAAAGGTGGGATTAGGGATAACGAAACCTTGGGTGCGATCTAAGTGAGCTGTAATTAAAACCAGCTAGCGTAACTCGGGAGAGTATGTCTAGTAAATTGTCGTAATTACTCGGGAGAGAATTACAACACGCAGAGTGCTCATGATCGGTAGAGAATACTTAGGCAAAATTATAGAAGACATAGCGGCCGGAAGTATTCCGACAATTGGGGAAATCATAACTCTAGACCTCCTTAATCTTTTCTCTAACCTGTAGTATCTTTAGTATTAATTTATTATTTTAATTTGTTAGTTAGTTAGTTAAACACAAGAATCTTAATATCTATAAGTTATGAATTGTTCAAGCTTGTATTCTTGGTGATAGTAAACAACTGTAGCTAAGCCGTCTTAGTTCTCTGTGGGATTTGACTCCGGACTTGTAAACCAGATTATATTCGCAACGACCGCTTAGTCCTTTTTATAAGCCATAATTGCGCGTGGTTAGCAGCCTGATGTACAAAGCATCTTGCGTTCACGCAGGGTCCGGGAAAAAGCCGCAACTTAAATAATAATATAAATAGTCTATCCTAATACAAGCATTAATGATTGTTTTCACGGCTGCTTTACCCGAGCAAGGTGATTGGCAAAAAGAATAATCCGTAAAAGATATGCTCCAATATTTTTTCTTATCGTCATCTTATGTCAAGTAGTACAATATCATGAAAAATAGACCATTACTAAAGTAAGTGCCATCAGTAGCGCGCCTAAGTGGAGGTCGTTGGTTTGAGCCATGAAAATAGCTTGTTGTGAAAATGCATGGTAAGACTGCATAAATATCTTTTATCTACGGGATATCTCAAATACAAACTGATACAGATAAGTACGTATCAATAATTGAGGATATCAAATAGAAAAATAGAAAGGAAAAAGAAAAAGGTAAAACAGAGGATTCTTCATTTACACATCCCCATTTTTCTGATGCAAACTTCGAATTCTGAATCTGTGATAATTGGAGAAACAAAGTGCTGCAACTGCACAATCTACAGAAATCACCATCACCATCCATTTTCAATCTTATTTTTTATACAAAAATGATACAATATTCAAAGCATATATATAAACTCTACTTAGAAAAAATTCCTAGAGTCTTAAATGGAGAAGTGAAGGCCGAGCTCCAAGTCCTTTGGAGTTGTAGTAGGATACATAATCTCTCACTGTTGTTTCCTTGTACTTGGGAGGATTTTCATCCGACAACAATTCATTTATTGGTCCATAGAGTCTGTCAAATGGCTGAAATTGAGTTGTGAAAAAACATGCAACTGAAATTCTTGGCCCAATATGTTTTGACAATACTATGTGCTCAGCACTTTTGAACTTGTCATTTGAGAGAAGCTGCATTGCCGAAAAAAGTTGTCCTTAGTTCAAATGGAGAAAGAGAATCCAATAGAGTCAAATTCAGGAGTTAAAATTAAAGGGAAAATGTATAAGTACCCCTCACCTATATCCGGATTCCCAACTATACACTTTTTTTTGCGGGAATCCTATTACCTCTCTAAACTTATTTTAAATGGAATTATTTGCACCCTTAACGCTGACGTGACCGGGTGTGTGTATTTCACTCTCCCATAAGCAAGAAAAAATAGTTTTCAGATTATTTTTATTCCTTTTTACCATTTTTTTTACTTTTTTTTCCTTTTCCTTTTTCTCTGTCTTTTTTTTTTTACTTTTTTTTTTTCATTTTTTCTCTAATTCCGGCGGATATTCATTCACTGGTGACTTTGTCTAACCGTTTTTCTTCTATTTTTTCTTTTCACACACAAATTAAACTCTGAAAAAGATTTATTCATAAGCAAAGCAAAATACACTCAGATTTGGGGGGAAAAATTCATCATCGGAAAACCTTCACACGCCGGAGAAAAATGATGCATTGAAATTTTAACTGGAAAAAGTTTTCTCAGCTTATATTTTTTTCTTCTTTTGCTCTTCCTCCCACATATAAATTATACTTTTAAGAAAAATTTATATATATATAAAACAAAACACACTTAGATCGGGATAAAAATCTGTTGCCGGAAGAAAAAAACTTCGCCGGAAAAAATGATGTTTGTGAAATTCCGACGACCACCATTTTATGCCGCCGGTGACCAAAACAAAAAAAGAAGAGAATGAAACGACCAAAAAAAATGAGAATAATAAGAAATAAGAAAAAAAGGATAAGAAAAAGAAGAAAGAATAAAAAAGTACTAAAAATACATGTGGGGGCGTGTGTAGCTCACCACTTGCCAAGAATTTGGTTGTCAGCATTAAGGGTGCAAATAATTATATTTAAAATAAGTTTAGGGGGTAATAGGATTCCCGCAAAGAAAAAGTGTGTAGTTAGAAATCCGGGTATAGGTCAGGGGGGTACTTATGCATTTTCCCAAACTTAAAAGGTTCGATATGCTGAGTTCTTTTAAAAACAGGGATTCAAACTTTATCATTTATATACTTTTCAGCTATGTTGCTCGTACTCTCCAAAATTGTTGCCGAACTCCTGGTAGATCCTTAAAAATGCACTACTTTTGGAGGATCCGACAAGTACCATACAATATTTTTGAAGAGTCCGAGCAACCTAGCTTTTCAATGGTTCTCTCATATATCTACAGTTTTTATTGAAAAAATGATGTGTCCGACTAAACTCACTTCTAACACTCTAGATCCGCCTCTAGTCAGGGTTACTAGACTAATATAATTTGTTTTAGGTATACTTACGTGCAAAGGGTCTCCAAGATTGATGACTAGAGCGCCGGTCACCGGATGAATATCAATCCATTGATTTTGGTGATAAATTTGAAGGCCACCAATGTGATCTTGTAGAAGAATTGTGAAGAAATCTGGATCCGTATGCTTTGTAATTCCAAGAGTCTTGTTTGGCTCAGGACAAGGTGGATAGTAATGACTGAGAATGAAATGTCCTTTGGCACATTCCATTTCCAGCAAGTGATTTGGCTTCAGTCCAAGTGCCTCTGCTAGTAACTCAAATATTGTATGGCCCAACTTTCTAACATGTTCAGAATATTCAAGTAATTCCTTCCTAACATAGAAGAAAAAACAACGAAGTCACACATTTATAGTAAAACACAATAAAGTTGCATAGTAAAAACATATTGGTAACATGACCAATCATATAGTATTTCCTAACTGAGATAATAGAAAAATGAATTTCCGGATATTTTTGCTTTTTGAAAGAGTAATTTCTCATTGGTAGAGATGCATCGGAAGTTTCAGGATGTAAATTTAATGGGTTCAACTTCTCTGTGTCGAAAGGTATGAGTTCAGATGAACCCATAGCTAAAGAGCTGCATCCGCCCCCGAGCAGAAGCCTTAAAAGTGAACACTACTAGTGGCACACTTACTATGAGGAGCGAGCTAGAACGTGACTTACGGCCTTACGAGTTCGAGCTTTTGTTCAAACTATGTATTTATCTCAAGAAATTCATCGAATATGAACAATTTATTAATTTAGAACTCAGTAACTTAAACAAATTAAATTCTCGAACTCATAGATGATAAACTTCAAATCCTGACTCAGCATCTACTTATTATATCCCATTTCAACCTCGCTTTATCCTTTCGTTAACTAACCTACCTTACTTTTTAACTACAGATAGAAAATCATTTAGGTAAATAGCTTATTTCATCATGGATCCCTAAAATTTATTGAAATTGCAATAAATATGAACTCATAATTTAAGAATACAATGAATTTAATACTAAAAACCTTAGTGGTTGAACTCATAAAGTTTAAATACTGGATTCACATTTGCCCTACATAGCATAGTTCATAAGTTGTATTCTTCTATTAAAAAAAACTAAAATTTCTACAGCATATCAAAAAGGGTGTTAGCAGAAAATTTAATTGCATACAAAAATTTAATTACCTGCACGTGTCTGGTAATTCATCACTACGAGGAGAATTAGGAGCCATGACACAAGCTAGTGTATCCCTCCAATTTGCAGCCTTAGACCGATAAAGATGAGAAATTTTATTTTGGGTGACAACTCACCCAACAATAATCGTATAAGGCTACCCTTTATATTTGACAAGTGTGATTGTGGGCCTATTTACTGACATTGACTTATAGATAGAGAAAAGAAAAGGTGAATTGATGGAATGTGGGCCACCTAAAGGATTAGATATAAATATAAATAAAAGTAAATTGGACTATTGTCCCACGTAAAAGTCACTGTTTCGAAATTTTTTAATTTGTGTCTTCTACAACTGACACTAGTTGTATGAGACAATTTTTTTGTTTTACAGTTTTGTGGACCCAAATTTCTGTGGACCCAAAAGTGTAAGATTGGAGTCCACAAATTTGTGAGACAAAAGGAGCCTCATACAACTAGTGTAAGTTGTATGAGATACAAAATAAAACTTCTCCACTATCTCCGTCTGAATTGAATTAAAGAAGTTGAACACTTAAAAATAAAAGCTTTTCGGTTTTTCCACTTGAAATAACTCCCAAAACAAAATTTGTCCTTAAACACCGTTTCCTCATTATTATAAATCTAAACCCCATTCTGAATTATTTAGTAATTTAAATAACCTTTATTAATAATAATTTGAAGTTACTTTGTAATTAAAATGCATTACAAGCAAAATTTTAATATAATTAAGAAAATAATTGTTAATTTCCAAGTATATATCCAAGTTCTAGCACGCCTTCAACTTCAAGTTGCGAAACACGTTTTGATAACATCACATATACTACCCCAGTTATAATTATCTCTTTAAACAGTAATTATGTTAGTTTGTCCAAAATACTATTTTTTATATAAAATAAATTTTATTAGAGAACTGCACTAATGCTGCTTGGTGGGCCGGGCCTGAACCGGACCGGGCCCGCGGTCCTAACGGGCCTAATGGGCCTGGTGGGCCGGTCCTGGTGGTCCTGAGAAGACTGTGACGGGCCGGTCTTCATATATTAGCCCACGAGTCCGGGACTGTTTAGCCCGGGACCGTCAGTCGGGCCTGGGCCGGTCCTAGCGGGCCTAACGGGCCCAACGACTATTTTTTTAATTTTTATTTTTTTTAATTTCTCCAACGACCATATTTAAAATCTAGCCGTTTGGGCTGACAATTTGACCGTTTTTTAAGTTTAGAAAATGGTCATTTGGCCCCCAAACTTTATTTTAACCCCAAACTTTATATAATTACACTTTTTCCCATTTCTCAACTATAAATACCCCCTCATTCTTTCATTTTTATTCACCAATTCATCAATATCTCTCAATCTCTCTACTACAATTACTTAAT